CTCATGGTCAATCTGTCCATCTCTGCGCATTCCAGCATTTTTTTGATTATTTCTGCGTGGTTTTGTGTGCTGCCTGCGTCCCACGGATGGGACTTTTGCTTGTTTGTGCGGACCAGTTGCTGGCATGCCACAGCCCGCTACTGGTCCACGGACCGGGGGTTGGGGACCCCCTGCTTTAAGCCACATTGATTGGCATCTTACCGGCTGCCCTCCTGTGGCTAGCAGATGCCATTTGAAAACCAGCCTTGGCTTTAGGTATTCCATATGCTGCTTGAACCACAGCCAGTCTCTCTTCCAGGCGCCCGGGAGCCATAGCAGAGGGAGACGAGCTGACGTGATCTTCTCCTGATAGTCCTCGAATTTATGTTGCTAAGTGTGACGGTGGCTAAGTGACTTTTGCTCTATTTAATGACCTTTCGTGCCATGCAGATTTTGTGAATCGCTTCAGTTGTTAAGTTCTGGTTTCCCCCTTTGATTTTGCCTGTCAGAAGTTCGCAAAAGGGGATCACATGATCCCGGGACACCGCAACCGTCGTAAATATGAACCAGTTGCCAAGGATCTGAATTTTGGCCATGTGACTCTGGTGGAGGCTGCAACGGTCCTTAAGCATGGGAAAACAGTCCCAGGTCCCTTTTTTCAGTGCCGTGGTAACTTGTAGTAATAATCACAATAACAACAACAACAACAATAATAAAGTTGGAAGGGACCTTGAAGGTCATCTAGTCCAACCCCCTGCTCAGGCAGGAAACCCTATACCATTCCAGACAAATGGCTGTCCAATCTCTTCTTAAAAACTTCCAGTGTTGGAGCATTCACCACTTCTGGAGGCAGGTTGTTCCACTGGTTAATTGTTCTCACTGTCAGGAAATTTCTTCTTATTTCTAGGTTGCTTCTCTCCTTGATTAGTTCCCATCTGTTGCTTCTTGTCCTGCCTTCAGGTGCTTTGGAGAATAGCTTGACTCCCTCTTCTTTGTGGCAGCCCCTGAGATACTGGAACTCTGCTATCATGTCCCCCCTCATCCTTCTCTTCATTAAAGTTGTGGCCTTCTTTGATGTGTCTGGTCTGTCACGTCCTAAGACAGAATGCTGGCTAGCCGGGAGTGATCCAGTGGGTCTCTTTTCTCGTTTCCCTGCATTCCTGTTCTACGTTTTTATTTCTCTGAAGCGAGGAGGAGGAGAAGAGGAAGTAATTGAAGAAGAGGCATATAAGAAGGGGCTTTTTCCATTAAAATGCAGGGTGCGTGGTTATGCGCGCGCGTGCCAGACAGATCAAAGAACAAGAGCAGCAAAGCACATGGTTGATCCCTGGGGTGTCCGCTTAAACTCAGAGCTTATTATAATTGCACAGATTAATTTGGGGGGATTGAGGCCTTTGGGCGCTGCCACAAGGGTTGTGGGCGGAGGTGGGACGCTTTCTTTGGAAAAATCAAGTGATTCGTAGCAGGGGGAGGCCGAAGAGGCGGGCATTCCAGCCCTCTCTCTCTCTCTCTCTCTCTCTCTCTCTCTCTCTCTCTCTCTCTCTCTCTCTCTCTCTCTCTCTCTCTCTCTCTCTCTCTCTCTCTCTCTCTCTCTCTCCCCACACACCCCAGGGATGAATGAGAGAGCCTGGCTCAGAGCTATTATGTTATTATGACTGTAAGCAACCCTGCCTCTTTCAGGCAGCTGGGAAAAACTAAGCTGGTCTTTTGTGGTCTTCAAAAAAAAAAGGGCTGGTGTTTTCACCTAGGAGAGGAGACGATTCCAGGAAGAAGAAGGAAAAAAAACCCCCCTCTTTTCTTTATTTTAACATGATTGCATCTTTGTCCTTCCCGTGTTTAGCCAAAACGGGTCCAGAGCTCTTACCCACAGTTAAAACTGTTGTTCCTGCTGTCACACTTATGCTCAAAGGGGTATGGCAGAAAAGGAAAAGGGAAGGGGAGAAAGCAAAAAACACCCCAATCCTGTGGGGGAAGGCAGAGCACCTTCCTCCCCAGCTTCTTGCACTTCCATTCAGTCTCAGGAAGATTAATAGTAATAATAATAATAATGATAATGATAATGATGATGATGTTGGAAGGGACCTTGGAGGTAGTAGTAGTAATAATAATAATAATAGCAAAAGGCGGCCTTATTAGGAACTGCTTCCATCCTGCGACGATATCTGTAATACCATCAAACATCCACATCTGCCTATCCCAGGTCCTGGGTAAGGACTCGATAGGTAGACAAAATGCCAAATCCAGTCTGAACATCTGGCTGACGGTGCGATGATCAATAATAATAATAATAATAATAATAATAATAATAATAATAATAATAATAATGACTCGATAGGTAGACAAAATGCCAAATCCAGTCTGAACATCTGGCTGACTGTGCGATGATCGATAATAATAAAGTTGGAAGGGACCTTGGAGGTCATCTAGTCCAACCCCCTGCTCAGGCCGGAAACCCTACACCATTTCGGACAAATGGCTGTCCAGTCTCTTCTTAAAAACTTCCAGTGTTGGAGCATTCACCGCTTCTGGAGGCAGGTTGTTCCACTGGTTAATTGTTCTTACTGTCAGGAAATTTCTCCTTAGTTCTAGGTTGCTTCTCTCCTTGATGAGTTTCCATCTGTTGCTTCTTGTCCTGCCTTCAGGCATCTTGGAGAATAGCTTGACTCCCTCTTCTTTGGGGCAGCCCCTGAGATATTGGAAGACTGCTATCATGTCCCCCCTTATCCTTCTCTTCATTAAACTAGACATACCCAATTTCAGCAGCTGTTCCTTGTATGTTTTAGCCTCCAGTCCCCTAATCATCTTTGTTGCTCTTCTCTGCACTCTTTCTAGAGTCTCAACATCTTTTTTACATCGCGATGACCAAAACTGGATGCAGGATTCCAAGTATGGCCTTACCAAGCCATTTTTTTTAAAGAAAAAACTAAAACTCTTCCCTTTGTAAAAACCACAATGGAAGTTTGGCTCCACGTCTTGTAAAAAACAACAACCAATATTAACAACACAGCCATTCTCCATAGCTTCAACGTTTGTTAATAGTTTTAAAATCTGCGTGCCTGGTGGATTTGAAGCCATCTCGTTGCAAATGGATTCCCATCTCTCTGCGTTCCTGAGGCCTGGAAGACTCATTCTTTTCTCTGGGAAGTAATCATATTAATTGCTTTTGTTACAATGGCTGAGCCCTGAAATCCAGGCTCAGAGAGCTAATAGCTTGATTATTATTTAACTGGTGGTGTTTGCTAAGCCGGCTCTTCGTTTTGGTGGGATTTAATGTGAGGCTTAATACGTGAAGAAGGAAACGGAGAAATTCTTGAGGAAAGGCCATCCCAGAGTAAATGGTCACCTTTTCAATGCATTATGCTGTTTTATTTTTGTCCTGCCTTTATTATTTTTACAAATAACACAAGGCAGCAAGCTTGTCTAATACACCTTTCTCCTCTTATTTTCCTCACAACAGCCCTGTGAGGTAGGTTGGGCTAAGAGAGGGTGACTGACTGGCCCAAGGTCTCCCAACTGCTGGCTTTCATGGCTAAGAAGGGACTAGAACTCACCGTCTCCTGGCGATTGGCCCAAAGTCACCTATCTGGCTTTCATGCTTAAGGCAGGACTAGAACTCACCTCTAAACCAAACTGGCTCCCCATGACTTCCAAATGAGTGGATAGATGGCAAAGTTGTCAATCATGCCACAAAGAAACAGCTCAGGGATTTTTTTACTTGGTTTGGTATTGCTGGGCTGCCTGACCTCCTTTATTTTTTAATGAATTCTTTGAATAAAGATACAAAATAGAGAGCTGCTTTGGTGAAAATCAAAAGCCCTTTCTTTGGTGTGGGACGTGTTCCAGCTGTCTTCGGCCCTCTCTGAAAGTCCCTGTGAATTGCTTGAGCACATCTTCAAGGGCTGCCTTTGGTCAGTGGAGGTTGGGGGGGTCTAGCCAAACCACCATTCCAGCCCTTTTAAGAATTGGCAAGGATCTGCTGGCCTCCATTTTGTGAGTGTACCCACCACGGGCTCACAACGGTCCAAATATATCACTGGAAAACACATTTTGCCAACAGCAATGGATTCCCCTTGTGCAATCTGATTTCTAATACTCAGAGCATTTCTGAGCATCAGATTGACTTGAAAACTAATTGGCCTGACACACACACACACACACACACACCGCAACTCTGATCAAAAGCTAGAACAGAATTTGTGGCTAAAGGAGCACAAATAGCGTGGGCTTCCCGATTTGCAACTGGCTAATTGAGCTCCTCATTATGCTGTTGAAGGGGCATACAGAAAGTTTACATCTTCTTTTTAACTGAAATGTGCAATTGCTTCTGTAGTTGTGAATATGGAATGCCACACATAAATAGTTTATCCCTTCCATCCCAAGTTAATAACGGCATAACAGAATTGGAAGGGATCTCAAGGGATCTCAAAGGTCTTCTAGTCCAATCCCCTGCTCAAACAGGAGACCCTAAACCATTCCAGACAAGTGGCTGTCCAGTCTCTTCTTAAAAACCTGCAGTGATGGAGCAGCCACAACTTCTGGAGTCAAGCTGTTCCACTGGTTAATTGTTCTCACTGTCAGGAAATTTCTTCTTATTTCTAGGTTGCTTCTCTCCTTGATTAGTTCCCATCTGTTGCTTCTTGTCCTGCCTTCTGGTGCTTTGGAGAATAGCTTGATTCCCCTTCTTCATTGTGGCAGCCCCTGAGATATTGGAAGACTGCTATCATGTCCCCCCTCATCCTTTTTTTCACTAGACTAGCCATACCCAATTCCTGCAATCGTTCTTCATATATTATAGCCTCCGGGCTCTTAGTTGCTCTTCTCTGCACTCTTTCCAGAATCGCAACCTCTGTTTTATACCATCTGAATTATCAGATGCCGTTTCCTTTAAAGAATTACACATATATTTCATGCTTCCATAACGCAACCTATAATTCTGTTGTCCAACATTGTCTTTGCTCTAAAGTGTTTTTTTTTAATATTTCATTTGTATGTGTGTGTGTGTGTGTGTTTTTTTTTACCAGGTTGGACATTTAAAATGATTGCCACCCTCAGAAATGTCTGCCACAGCTGGACAACGTTGACCGCCTCTTCTGCTGCTTGCTGAGAGCATGCCTGATGAAAGCAGTTGTTTAGCCCCAACAAAAGTGACAATTTTACCGAAAAACCAGATTATGCCTCCAGTTGCTCATTTTATTCAATTGTGCGTGAAAGGGTTTTCTTTTCAAAGCAACCTTGTTAAAAAAACAAACAAACACACACAGGAAGGGTGTCATTCCGTGCAACTTTCCCTTTGTGAAGCCAAGAAAAAAGAAAAAGAAAAGAAACATTTTTTTTTTCATGCTCAGATTTCTTCTTTTTAATGAGATTTTTTTTCAGGGCAAAGGAACCAAGGGTGCTTTATTTGGAAAGAAAATGTCAAGAAATGTTAAGAAAACCATCTCATGCTGGCATGTGTGTAGATGCGTGAGGAACAATCGGAGAGTAACCGTGCTATCTGATACATGCCCATACCTAAACAGCTGCACACAACCCCTGCACAATCAGCAGCTGCTTATAGAAGCTAAAGGGGAGGAGATGCTGTTCCTCAAAAACCTCTAATTAACTGGGATCAATAGCACATTTTTTGTGTGTCTCTCCAACGCTAGCAACCCCGTGCCTCTGGAGACACAGGGTCTCCATTATTGCAGAATTTTACAGAGCTGATTCTCTGAGACTTTCTGCCTTGGGATTGGTTGGTTAGTTTTCCAACTGTTTCTACAATTTTATACTTATAGAAGCCAGCATCAACTGAACCAATAAATGTCCCTTCCTAGTCAAAGGGACATAATTCCCTTTGGGCGTGTGCTCTTAAATTTCTTAATTTCGTAGATACTGAATTGCTTAATTGCCATAAAACAGGGGTCCCCAACCTCTGATCTGTGGACCAGCAGCAGTCCAAGGCAGGCCGGGAACCGGTCCATGCAAACAAGCGAAGCCCCATCTGCAGGATGCAGGCAGCACATGAAACCACATCTCCACCGGTCCATGGAAAAACCTCTCTTCCGTGGAGCTGGTCCCTGGTTCCCAAAAGGTTGGGGGGCCACTGCCATAAAAGGTCATAAAACTGGGCATGACTCACCTTGTCTAGCAACGGAAATTCACTTATAATTGCGATCGTAAGTCAAGGACTCCCTGTGCTATTCCTAAAAGTTCTAAATTGCAGATTGGACTGATAAATAGATAACTTGATTGGAAACATGCGCTAAAATGATGCATCCAGCAATCACTATTTCCCCAAGATCCCAACCATATAAAAGGTGGTGCGTGTCATCCCAAATATTACTTTTCATGTTTTCTAAGTCCGGCATTAAGAGTTCAAAATAATTCTTCGGGGACTTGGCACAGATTTTCCTCTGCATTTTTTTTACAAATATTCAGCAACTTTGGTATCACTGATGATGCACTTTCTTTAGCTTGTCCCACAACATGCGATCTTCGTGAAGACTTCTTAAGGGTAGCTGGAAGTCTTTTATCCAACTAACAGAATCTCAGTTATGCAAAACTAAAAAGACTCTAAGAAGCCATTTCCATAAACAGATTTTTTTTTTTTTTTTTTGGTGCCTATGTTTGTGAAGGTGAATAGTGAAATACTTGAATTCCCAAACATGGACACACACAAACCCATTGTATTCCATTGTGTATACATTCTCGGCCATTTCCAATGTATGCATATCACCCCTATCTCACCCTTGAAAACTTTGACTAACTGTTGAGCACGTCATGGAGTCCATAAAAATCACCAATGACTTGGGTGCCTTAAAGGAACAAAATGCCCGGCAGGGCTAGTGAGTGATAGGTTTTTTTTAAAAAAAAAATGTGTACAAATAATACATGTGATTGTTCTTATTCTCTGCTCAGAAAAAAAAATCCTTCCGTTTTTAAATCTATTTTGGACGTTGCTCAGAATGTAAATAGGGTAAGACTCAGAGTTTTTATATTTTTTCACATGCTACTGTTAAGAAAGTGATTCCTTCTAAGCATTAATCCTTCTTCCGATGAAGTTGCAATGATCAACTTATACACCGTACAAATATTCTAAGGATGGCTGTCTTATTGACTCAGCGATCCCACCATCTATTATATAGGTTTCCAAGCCAAGATGGGGGCAGGGGAACAACCCAAAGAGAAAGTGATCCCCATCCTTCTAAGCAGTGTTTTTCTAAAAAAAAAAAAAAAAAAAAAAGGTGCCGGAACTCACACACGTCATACAACCCGCCTTGCCAACCCTACAAGGTTCCATCCAAAAAAGGTGCTGGAACTCCGTTCTGGGCATTCTATGAGAAAAAAAGCCCTGCTTCTGAGTAATTCTTCCAAGGAAACCTTCAAAAAGTAGCCTGTGCACCATACAAATATTCTAAAGATGGCTAACTTCCTTTATGTTGTGTCCAAACATCCAGGTCATAAGACTCCATGCCAGAATGAAAATAAACCAACCGAAACTGGAAAAGGAGCAAGCAACGACTTAAAATCCATCAAAGTCTCCATCAAAGTCTATGAAATATATAAATATTCAGATTTCTACATCTTCTGAAGTGTTTGGTAGGATGATAGACTGACACTTAATTGAAAGTTGCACTGTATGCTTTTCACCCAAAGCCTTATACAAGTAAATGAACATCTCTCAGTCCTATGGGTCTTTTGATCCAAGACTATTGATTAAGCCTTGCAAGAGATGAAGCCGGGAAGCTTTCTCCCTTGACTTTGTTCTCCTGCAGGTGTCAAAGACGCCTATAAACGATTGTAGCCCATTTACCTCCTGCCGCTCAGAGAGGAACAAAATCCAATGGCTGCTATTTGCAGCGATTATCCCTGGCTCTTCCATGTCATCGATGGAACAGCTTAAAAAGAATGTGCTTCCATGGACCATCCATTATGGGTCTTTCACGGAGAGATCTTTATAGGCTTCCCATTTCTATCATACTGGTAGACAAGCATTTTGATGCAGTGGGAGTTGGCCGGGGATATCCATGGGCTGCTAGTTATTGAAAAGTTATGGTTTGTATAGAACTGAACAGGTTGCTTCTGACACCGGAAGAACGCCTTCAGCGTTACGGCCGCCATTGAGCGGAACCGCTTGCTGATGAAACAGTACAGGAAGAAGTTGATGGCAGTGTTGAGCAAGGCTAGCATGTTGGCCACATCGGAGACAATGTGGACAGACCAGCTGTTGTTGATGGGAGAGACGTAAAGGTGGTAAAGGATCATGATAATTCTCGGGGCCCAGAGGATGGCGAAAATGGAGGTGATGGTAAACAAGATGGCGGTGGTTTTCCCAGTGGAATAGCCTCGCAGGCGGAAGTTGCACTTCTGCCGAAGCTTGTAAACGATGATGGAGTTCAAGATGAAGAAAATGGAGCAGGGCACCAAATAGATGGTGAAGCAGTGGATCCAGATGAGGACGTGGTGAACAAGAGTACTTGTGTAGTCTTCCTTCCAGATGTTTGGCCACCAATAGTATGGGATGCTAGTTAGAAAGCAAATAATATAAACACTCACAATGACTTTGCGAGTGCGAGCTGGATAGGAGACCATGTGGTATTTGAGGGGATGGCAGACGGCAATGTATCGGTCGATCGTGAGAGGGACAGTAATCCAGATGGAAGTATGGATGGAGGAGAATTCTAACACCTCGATAATTTTGTCCAGGACTTCAGGCATCTTCTTCTTCAAGATGAAGTCTTCCAAGAGGAAGTCGACAAAGACGATGAAGAAAAGGACTAGCAAATCAGCCACTGCAAGAGCTAAAAGGTAGTTATAGGAGGACTTTTGACGCCGAGCCACCAGCTGTGACAGAATGATTACCGTCAAAATGTTAGCTGTAAGAGGAGAGAGAAAAGAGAGAGGAAAAAAATGATGTTAACTTTAGAAGATTAGCAATTACTGTTAGGCCCCAAGAGCCAAAAACGACAATTGGAGCTACTTAAGAGAATTTTAAAAGAAAACCAGAATACATTTAACGCACCTTATTTGGGTTTCTGAGAATAGTAATGAAAATGTAATCAACATCAACTGAAAATGAGGATTAATGTTGGAAAAATAATCCAAGAATCAAGCTGTAAACAATACCCCAATCAGGGAACTTTGAATTCAGACATCAAACCGTAAATAACAAGGAACCCTCAAGAACACTCCCGCTAACTCTGACAAGACAAATTACTTGTATGTAAACAGAGAGCAAATTCATCTCCTACTGATGATGTTACCTAGGTGGGTCATAAAATGTCTGCAAGAAAACAACCAAGATCAGAGAGCACCAAGGACCCCACAGTTTAAGATGTGTGGACTTTAACTCCCAGCATGCTGGCTGGGGAAGTCTGGGACAAGATTCAGCAGTCCATCTGCATTTGAAAGATGAAGGTTACACTGTGGAAGACAGCAAAGTCCACCTTCTGGACAAAGAGGACCACTGCTTGAAAGAGAGGTAAAAGAGACCATCTATCTTAAAACAGAACAGCCCCTCTCTCAACAAAGCGGGAGGGATACAACACCATCTCTCTCCTGTTTCCAGCCCAGTCCTTTCAGCAGATCCAAGAAGATCCCACATCCGTTTGCACTCTGATTCAGGTGACCCTGAGGGCACAGATGAACCCACAAGTGGCCTCAACGACCAATCTTCAAAGTGCTAATCACCATATGACTGCAAGGAATATAAATTTTTCCACTCCCCACCAGTCAGTCAGAACTGAAGATGCTTCTTGGGTGAGAAGCAAAACGTCGTCAATAGAAAAAACACACAGAAAGTCCAGTTTCCTCTTGAAAAAGCATCTTTGGGACAACCATGATCTGGATGACTGAGAATCTCTATAGACCAGGGGTCTTCAAACTTGGCCCTTTTATGACTTGTGGACTTCAACTCCCAGAATTCCTCAGCCAGCATGGGGGAATTATGGCCCCTTCATGACTTGTGGAGTTCAACTCCCAGAATTCCTCAGCCAGCATGGGGGAACTGTGGCCCCTTCATAACTTGCAGACTTCAACTCCCAAAATTACTCAGCCAGCATGGGGGAATATGGCCCCTTCATGACTTGTGGACTTCACCTCCTGGCTGAGGAATTTTGGGAGTTGAAGTCCACAAGTCATAAAAGGGCCAGGTTTGAAGACCCCTGCTCTAGACACACATCTTAAAGTTGCTAAGGTTGAATAACAGTCGACCAGGCCAGCACAAATAAGGAGATGCCTCTCAAGTGCAAGATAATCATCTTTAGAATATGGGTCATCATTGATTCTCTTTAACTGGACTCTGATTTAATTCCATTCTGGCTGCAAGACATTCTGGCTCAAAGGCACACAAACATTTCCCAACAGTTGCTACCCCATCAACCTATTTAATTAATTCACAAAGTACAGAGGTTTGGTTCAGCGAGAGGGAGAGTTGCTAAGTATTTAAATTTCATATGCATTCAAGTAATTACTTTTTTTTTTGGCGTCGAGCAAATGCAGCACATTTAATGTTCGACTTTTGAGCGTGCCAATTTCTTTTTTCCAAGGCCGATCAAGAATAACGACACGGATTCCTCCAGCTAAGAACCGAGGAGAGAGGTGGGACCAAAAGACAGGAAGAAGACGCTTCCCTTGGATGCATGCTGCACATCCGAGCACAAGCGCATATTATTTGCCGCTTAACTGCCAAATATTTATGAACAATCTGAGTGCATCTTGCTGAAACTTGATTTCCCAGGAAGAAAAAAAAAAAAAAGAAACTCAAACAGTGACAGCATGGGGGTGGAGAAGAGGCTGCTGGCATTTTGTTTTGCCGGGTTTTTTTTTTTTAAAAAAAGAATTGCATCTTCAAGCTCTCAAGTTAATTTCTGTTTTACTAAATGCCAAAGAGGATTGTTACTCAGCCACCTGTATTTTGAGAACAGAGGGGGCTTCATTCCCAGTGCTTTCCCTTGTTCAAAGCTGACTATGGAGCAATGGTGGGTGAAGCCTTAGAGCGGGGATGTTTCAGGAGGGGCATAAGGTCCCTGAGCAGATTGCATGGTTGCCAAGATGATGCTTCATAGTTAGATGGGAAGGGCTCATTTGAGTCAAGTTGAGATCCTTGAGATTATGTGGAGTGATCCATAAAGTTGTCCCAACAATAATATGGGGGTGCTTTACCTTTGTCTTCTGCTGGGAAGTAGGTTAGGCCTCCAGGTCTAGCTTTCCGTGACTCCTTTGACTCTAACTTAAGTCCTTGAGATTACATGATCCATAAAGTTCTCTCAACAATAATATGGAAGTGTCTTCCAATGGGAAATAGGTTGGACCTTAGTCAAACTTAAGTTCTTGAGTCTACATGAACAGACCCATAATGTTTTCTCAATAATAATATGGAAGTGGCTTATCAGTGTGTACTTCTGTGAAGTAGGCTGGACCTCGAAATCTAACTTTCAACTCTTGATGTTTACAAAGGTCTTCCATCCAGATACTAAAGATGTCTGACTCTGTTTAACTTGTTTTGATAGCTACTATCATTGTGTTAGCGCCAACTGCTGCAAGGGCAGTTCGTAGCACCCAGATGCAAATCCATGTACGGATTGTTTTTGTCCAAAGTTCAGATTCTGCACAAGCATTTTTGAGACAAATGAGCCCTTTACTTATTCAATACAATTTATCCTTACTCAAAAGGCCATTGCCTTTTTTTAATTTGATTTTTTAAACGTTAGGTCACCCCAAGCTTTGAACCTTTTGGAGACTTTGGAAGCAGTGTTTCTCTACCTCGGCAAGTCTCAGATGTGTGGATTGCAACTCCCAGAATTCCTCAGCCAGCTTGCCTGCAGCTTGCAGCTTGCCTGGCTGAGGAATTCTGGGCGCTGAAGTCCACAAGTCATAAAAGGGCCAAGTTTGAAGACCCCTGCTCTAAAGCTACCAAACCTGAGCTTGCAAAAATCTGAATAATCACTAGGGGCCAGCAAGGAAGAGGCAGGATCTTCTAATTATTTGATACCAGTTCTAATGGTTCTCTGGGTTTTGCAGGCCAAATACAGTAGCCTGACTGGAGACAAACGCCCAAAGCCGGCAAGCCAACTGTTGTCCCGTCTCGGTCCGATGGGAATTGAAGCTCAGCAAGATGCGGAGAACTGCACGTTTTCTGTTCCTGGTGTAGATAACCCTGGGCTAGCTGCACAGAAAGCCTGTCCCACTGCCAAGGAGCAGCAAAATCCATAGGCAGACACAGCTCTCTCTCTTGTTCTCCAAAGCAGTTATTGATTTTTCATGATCCACTTTGAGGCTGCAGCTCTGAGCAAACGAGGCAACCCAACTGCCTTCTCACCCCGGGTTTCTAGGAGAGTCGACTCCTGCTCGGAGGCTAATATTGACGTGACTTTCTGGAAGGGCTACAAATCTGAACAGTGGGATAGCAGTTTTGTTCTCGTGCTGATCGCCACGTAGCTCTTAACGATACAGGTGGGAAATAGGGAGATGGGAATGGGCGGGGGGGGCTCACTGCTACCCCCGCCCCCAAATATCCTAAATGAACATTGGTCCCCTGTACGGAAGGATAAAAAGGAGTCAGTACATACAAGGTTGGTCCTCGGTGTGTGACCACAGTTGAGGCAAAAACTGTCGCTAAGCAGTTGTGAAGCGAATTTTGCCCCAGTTGCGAGCTTCCTCGCCAGTGTTGTTAATCACTGCAGTTATTAAGCTAGTAACGTTGTTAAGTGAATCACTGCAGTTATTAAGCTAGTAACGTTAAGTGAATCTGGCTTCCCCATTGACTTTGCTTGTCAGAAGGTCGCAAAAGAGGATCACATGACCCCCCCAGAGACACTGCAACAGTCATAAGTACATGCCAGTTTCCATGCATCTGAATTTTGATCACGTGACCACGGAGATGTTGCAAGGGTGGTAAGTGTGAAAAACGGTCACTAAGCCCCTTTTTCCAGTGCTGTCGTAACTTCAAACGGTCACTAAATGAACTGCTGAAAGTTGAGGACCCCCGATATTGCCTTGATGAGTCTGTCTATGGAAATCATGCCCTCGCTCAGTGCTTAAATCCCCCTTGTACGGATGGTCCTCCACCTCCCGCTGTTCGTTTAGCGACCACTCAAAGTTACATCAAACTCAACTGCCATGCATTTTTCCTTGCATGATTACAGAAAATAGATTTCCAGAAAATAGATTTGCCCACTTCTAGGATTTCTGTTTTCATCACACAAACGGCCGAGGCAGCCACTTACGGTTCCCCAGTGACCCCCACCCCCACCCCAGCCAGGCCTTACCAGCTTAGCTTTTTCAAGATAGCCACTTTTCTGCCACTTGCTAAGGCACTTAAAAATTGAATGGATCAATAGAAATCTGGCTTCTTGCAATATTGACCTTAGCAGATCAGTGTCTCGGTCTGTGCATACACACAGACACCCATACAGCCCCTTACACAAAATGTGCATGCAAAATCTCCCTAAAGGAGACAGTTATTAGAGTCATTCCCCCCCCCAGATCATTTATACTAATATCCTTGATCTTTGTTACCAGTTTTCTCTTATGCTTGCTTTTAAGGCCACTTGTGCCAAGTTACATCAAGGCAGCAATTATACAACGACTTTTCTATTAGCACACTTCCCCACCGTGCATTTCTCCAAAGAGTTGAGTGTGGGCATGTTTTACCTGGAAGAGCGGGTTGCCGGTGAAATTCTGCTCGTGGGTACTGAATGTTAGTCACTGTCATTCCTTCCTGCTATCCAGGTGGAATCTCAGTCTATTCTCAGGAACATAGAATAGGGCTGGAGGTTTTGTAGTCCAACTTCCTGCTCTAGCAGGAGACCTTATACCATTCCAGGCAAATGGCTGTTCAGTTTCTTCTTAAAAGCCTCCTCGGATGGAGCACCCA